TATAGCAGTATGACAAAAAGTAGTAATATTTTTAAGTTCACAGATGCATCTCCCTGGATCCTGTGTATTTTTCTTTGTTTTGCTAAGCATGTTCAAAAGTTTTTAGATGGCCAAGAGTTAGAGTAGTTAATCAAGTTGATTGCATGTCTTTAGGAATTGAGGGGTCTTTTCCGTGACTGTTTGGCCATTCTTTGGTTGTGCGACTGTTTGGCCATTCTTTGGTTGCGCGACTGTTTGGCCAAAATTTGGGTCTTTCCGGCGTGTCACCGCTGTCTTATTTTAACCGTTTCCTGGTCAGACAAACGTCAAAGATGTAGACAAGCGTCGGAAAAGCGTCCGTAAAAGCGGACAAGCGTCGGAAAAGCGTCGGTAAAAGCGGACAAGCGTCAAAAAAAGCGGTTAAGCGTCAAGACAAGCGTCAGGACAAGCGCCAAAAAAGCGGACAAGCGTCAAAAAATTCGGCACAGAACATGTAAAAAACGTGTAAAAAATCCAGTATGTACACATGTAACGTAAATACCAACATAATGCGTTATATATTATCTATACACGTAGAAAAAACAAAGTACAGACGTACCGATTACTTAGGCTATGGTACGAACATTTAATGAAGGCATTTCACGAGCTTGGATTTGAAAGCTCCTCCTACAATAAATGCTTCCTTATTCGCAAAGACATGATGATTGTCGTTTATGTTGACGACTGCGGTATCAGCACTGACAAACCAGAGAAAATCGATGCACTTGTCAACCAGCTGAAAGAAAAGGGATTTGATTTGGAGATTGAAGGCAACTTTGAAACGTTTCTTGGAGTCAAAATTCGCCAGATGAAGGATGGTAGATACCACCTCCTTCAAGAAGGGCTCATCAAGAAGGTGCTCAAAGCCGCCAAGATGACCGACTGCAGTCCCAATCACGTTCCCGCTGCACCAACCCCACTAGGAAAGGACCCTAACGGAGAACCTTGGTCCCATCATCCCTGGCGCTACAGCTCAATTGTTGGGATGCTAATCTACCTCTGCACAAATACTTGCCCAGACATCAGCTATGCAGTCTCCTGTGCGGCCCGCTTCAACAGCAATCCAAAAGTCAGCCATGCCACCGCCGTCAAGACAATCCTTCGTTACCTCAAGAAGACATCCGACAAAGGGTTGATTGTGAACTTTAATGGGACTCTTGACCTTGACTGTTCAAATCTGAGGCTCCATATGATCCAGCAGCGTCTCGGTCTTGTGGCGGGTATATCATTTTCCTTGGAGGAATTCCTCTCATTTGGAAAAGCTCGCTCTTATTGTGCATTACTCTCAGCACTCTCAAGGCTGAATATGTTCAACTTTCTCGCTCCATGACAGTTCTCCTGGGGCTCAAGAATCTACTTCTCCCACGGCTCCAACTTCCAAATTTGACCGCTTTTGTTTGCTCCATCATCTTTGAAGACAATGCTGGTGCACTACTTCTCGCTACCGGTCAACAAATCACCAATCGCAACCGCTATTTGAGCCAGTTCTATCATCATTTCTGGTCCTTTGTCCATCGCCCTCAAGATGGCCCTCCTCAAAACAACCCCAATGGTCCTTGGCATGACGGAAAAATCAAAGTATCCAAGATTACCACTGACAAGCAACGAGCAGACATCTTCACTAAAGGTCTGACTTGAGTGAACGCAACCAATTCTCCATCAACAGATGGTAATCATTCTCTCTTTGACAGGGAGAGTCGGAATATATATTCCGATGCAACACGTGTGATACTCCACAACACTTGTCATATACAAACGGAAATCGCACGATCCACGTTTTTGTGTGAAACCAAAAATTCACATACTCAACACAAGCCGTTGAACTTTCTGTGTATCAATCTTCATGTGATTGTTTGAACACATTGAAATATGCAAATAGTTAACACAATGAATGGCAGTTGAACCTATGAACACGGAGTCTAGCAATCGGAGACGTTGCTAAACTCAACAAGTTCTCACTGCCATATTGTCACAATTTTAGTAAATCTGCACTTTTACATCAAACTCTTGTCTCAAGTTTTATACTTCTATCAAACTACTTTGCTTCAAATACATAACAGCTCTGTCTACAGACATTTTCTGACTGTTTGCTAGGTTTGGAGTTGTCAAGCAATGGCGATGGTGTATTGTTGGGTGGGTTCTAACCATGTCTAGACATCAGCGACCACTTTTGTCAATGTGATTGAAGATCGCAACAACAACAGTCAATTTGCAACAATCAATAATATGCAACATTCAAAAATATGCAACAATCAAACATACCATCCGTGATGGACATGCACCAGTCAAACTCAGCCACCTTGAGTTTTCAAATTGGTCTTTGGTGACATGTAAAAGCTGGTACTGGGATGGCGTAGCAGCCCTCCAATACTTTTCTGATGGGTGAAGGATAAATAAATGTTGACAAACGGGCTTAGGACTGCCACGGTGAAAACGAACGTCAGATAAAGTACTGAAGTTTGACACGACACACTCGCTGTGTAAAAAGCATAAAGAACAAACCCAAAACTGTTTTCAAGACTGCAGAAAATAGAACTGGATTCCTATTGCATTGGATGGAAAAATGGTTAGGCTTCAGAAAGAGATGGGTGAAAATTGGAGGAGGATTCAAAACTGGTGATTGCAATGATGTTGAATTCCATTGCTGCTGCTGATAAATTTGTTTGTTTATGGAGCGTGCCTGCCAATTTTGAGTCATGATGAGGGCTCACTCCTGGTACAAAATAAACAAAACACACCACGCACGTAAACCCGCCGCCCTTGTAATTTTGTGTGCCATAATTTTTCTCCGTACGTATAGTACGGCATTCTACATGAAATTTTGCCAGACCGGATAATTATGTAAACAAGTACCATGTTTCTACTGCTCTTAGCCTTTCAGTAGTTGTGTACGTAGAAAAGGTATGGTTTCGGAATTTGAAAATTTCCAACAAAATCATCCCACACAATCATCCCACAATACAACCCGCCAGCATGGAGATTACCAGTGGTTGGAGGGCTGCTGCAGATGGCAAGTCAATTCTTGGTCTGTAATGTTGTGCATAATCCAGATCCAACTATTGTGATATGATCATTGTCTAACATGGTGTTGCCTTTTTTCTTTCATCAGGGCAAGAAGCAGTATGGCAAAAAATGCATAATCACTGTTGAACACATGTGAGGCGGCAAGGAGAACAACTGCAAATGGTAAGTCAATCTCCTATTACAATGATGTGTACATTCTGCTTTCTAAAATCACAATGCTGCAAGATCAAAGTTTCTAAGTAAGTGATTTCAATTTTTTGTTATTTAAGTCTCCTGTTGGTGTCTGACCCTCATTTCTGCAAGTTCCATCTACTACCAGATGACCTGAAGCTTGACAAAGTCCCATCCGATAGCCTGGTGGTCAATCTCCTGGAAAAGAACACTAATGCAGCTGTTGGATACAGGAGTTGTGGTCAGGGATATTGAGACTACCTGACAAAGGATGGCACAAAAGTTTTGCAAGCAAGGACAGGGCAGTACCAATCCTTTCATTACCTAGTGAAACAGATCATGCCATCAATCAATTGCACAAACACCAAATTGGATGTGCAGAAGCAGGAGGAGACAATCCGCAACATCTTCACCATGAGTGACAAGGCATTTGCCCTCATGCTACTTGAGAACTGTGAGAGTGGTTGGAGGGAACAGCATGAGGATCCCAAATCAGCAAGACTCCAAGGTAAGGAACATGCTGCTATACGCAAGGAGTTCTAGGCCAAATTCACATCAAGTGACAATGGCTTGAAGCTGAAGTCATCTGGTTGGAGTCGACAGGGAATTGAAAGCTACAACAAGAAGTTGAATTAAATTGGTAGGTTCAGAAGGCAATCCCGCGGCCCTAGAAGAGTACAAACTGTGGAAGATGCGCAGTGGAGCAGACATTTATGTAAAGGGCACAGTGCCTCCAACTGCAAATTAGAGACAGATACCTATTGCTGAAGGATCGTTGGCTGTCCCTCCTGATGCATTGGAAAGTATGTTTGCAGAGGTCTAGCCTTGTCAATAGATTGTCATTGAATTGTCAAATAAAAGCAAATGTGTTTGTGATATAATCAAAAGGCTCTTTCCAATACATTCATAATCTGTATGCCCTCACCATTGACTGTTCTTCAGAAGGCAAGGAAACTCTGTTTTGTAGGTCATTGTAGTTGTCATAAATTGACAAGGATCTGGTCCTTTGGAGACGTTGGCCATTTGATGAGATGACATTGACAATGAGAAAAAGGAAGCCATCGGATGGCTCTCAATCAAATGGGTCCACTTCAAAAGGTCTGTTGGATGTCCTTAAAAGACCAATCGGGCAGGTGGAAAATCGAAAATGCATATGATTGAAATCATGATTAGACAGCTTTGCATCCCAAGGTTCTGCAACAAAATCAAATGGGAACTTTCCAAAAATGAGAAGGTTATTTTCCTCAAAAAGACAATTTCCTTTTCATAAAAAGGACAAGGGGTTCTCATCTATCACATAGGCTTCACATGGGGTGGTGATAAAAAACATGGTGTCCTTGTCCTTTTTACCCAATTAACCTGTCAATTAAGGGAATATCGCTATAGCATTAAGGCGGAAGTACTGGACAATATAGGACAAGTTCCATGACACCCAAAAGCACCAGGCAACTGTTTCAGATGGAGCCTTCTGATAAGCGAAATTGACTCCATGGAGTTGCTTGTTTCCTTTCTTGATAACAACAGTGTGCTTTTGCTGTTTCCCTTAGATGTAGCAATCATTCTAAACTTCTTCCTTTGTGCTTCTCTTGGTTTATTGTTGCACTCTGCCAAACCGCAATTGTCAGCAGCCCGCTTTGCAGGATTGACGGCCATGCCATTGTAGTTACACATTGCAATTGACCTAAGAATCACTTTTGAATGACTATCCTTCACCTTTGAAGGTGCTAGCCTTTGTCTTGCAAAACCACTAACATTCAGGATGACAAGCAATATACTCGGATTTTCTCAGTCCATCAGACCACCAAATTGAGCCTCATGGTCCTCTTCCATGCCTATTACATCTTCCAATATGGCCAAGAAGTGCCATTGCGATAGTTCAGATCAATGGTATATGGTAGGTTGCCGTCTTCATGATCTGACAAGACAGTTTTGTGTTGGTGTCAGTTTTTGGGCGAATGGTTCTGTCCGACTTTGGAGGGTCATACTTGTTTCTGTGATGCCCCAGAGTGACGGATGAGGAGCAGACGCAGAGTGTCGGTGGGTAACAATCAAAAAACTATTTACTTCCTCTTGTTGGCACTTGCAACATAATAATCATTTCTCCCCTAGTTGATAGATCTTTCCACAACTCAGCTTTTCCTACAACTCTACAGGACCATGATTCTCTCCATTATTTCAACTATGTACTCCCTCTACTTTCATCGGGAGCCGTTGCTCCTCCAAAATCATCTTCATCAATTGAAATGTTGGCATATCCTTCCCTTATCTCTTCAAACAGCAATTGGGATAGGCCATCATCTTCATTCTTTTTTCGGAGCAAGCAGTCAAAACTATGATCCGCCCCAAGTGCAAGCTCTGCATGCGACACCATGACTTCCGACTCCTGCCCACCACCACAAGTTGAGCACAAAGCAAGATTGGTTGCTCCAAAGCGATCCTCCTTCGGTACCACAACTGTTACGGTAAAAATTTGGCCATGACCGAAACTATTTCCTGATTTTGTTTTTTTTCTAGTTTTTTTTCTTGTTTTTTTTTCCGATGTGTTGTCGAGGCCAATGAGCAACAGTAGACATACTCCAGTCTGAATGCCTGCATTAGTAAACAATTTTTGCATTGCCTTGATTGCAGCTTTACGTTCATACGGCCAAAATTCCACTTTGTTTTTCACGCTCACCAACATGGGACAGTAATGCAGCGTCCCATTCACAGTGTATTGCACTGGTACCATTATGTCGTACGCTGCACATGCAAAATACATGTACGATCCTCTTCCACCAAGGTACCAATGCTTGAGAAGCCCACTATCCTGCATTTCTTTCAAACTATAGCGTAGGTAGTTCTGACAAACTTGGATGAAGTTGACACTTGCCTTTGCTTCCCCAAGGTTGAGGGTAGTGTTCAAATCAGCATGTTGCAATCTTGCAATCCATTTCTCTAATGGAACAGAAAGCTGAGTGAGATCTGTCGATTGCTCAAACCTCAACTCATCTCCGCAAGCCAGCATATAAAAGGCAGCTGCAACCTCGCCAACATCTCCCTTTGCAGGACGACACAATGCAGAGGAGAATATTTTGATGGCCTTCTCCGACCAAACCGAAGCAGGTTCACTGCACTCTGTGGGAATCCCATCATCAATCCCAAATCGATTACAGCCCTCAATCATCTGGGTCATTGCAAGCCATGCGCAAACCGGATCAGGAAGAAATGCAATCCCGGCTACTGCGGTTTGGTCTGGCGAAAAGTGAGTCAGATGTGCGTATCCGGAAGCCACTAGTTCTGATGCAAAATCAAACGACACTTGACCCATTTGCAGTCGTGTTGCCAAAAGCGAATAATACTTCTGCAGTGACAGCTCCTGGTCCGCACCCCTCATTCGCAGCAAGATATTGCCAAGTGAAGTCTTCAACTGTCCTTTCAGATACAATCGTCCGAATAAGGGCCGT